AAGCTCTTCTGCTGAGGAATCAATCAGACTGAGCCACTTTGGTGGCTGACCTCTGGTGAGGGGGTCCATGGGATCACCATGTGTATCCATGTACCTCATGCAGACACCACATTCCTCCTTTATGGACAGATTATGTCCATCAGTTCTGTGTTAATGGACAGCTGGTGCAAGAGTCTAGAGGGAAATATAAGGGAAGCAGGAGAAAAAGTCTGGGGGAACCACAGAAGGTATAATGAAACTGCCTTCCACATGGTCACCCCTGTACAAACATGACCTGATCCTTTAAGATGCTAGTCAGTCAGTGGTCATGATGATGTCATGGTTTGAGGATTACCTCTCTGGAGTAATATTTTCAACAGGAGAGAGACATGAATGATGAAAATAAGGGACTGGTAGACATCTCAGATGACAAAAGACTGGGAAGATGTCACTGGCCTCATGCTGGGATGGCTTTATTGGTCATGAAGTGTGTGAGAAAGGGTGCCCCATGACTAAAGCTAGTAGAAAGCTCTGTACATAAACCAACCTGATGAAACTGAGGATGGCCAGCCTGGCTTCCCTCACTTTGTTTTGCTCCCCCAGCACAAAGAGTGTTTTGTTGCTGAGCTGCATACACATGCTTGCACCAAGCTTCTTGTAGCCTTAGTCTGTGAGAGGACACAAAAGGAGGCCTGACAAAGGTATGAAAAAACAAGCAGTCATATGGAGAAAGTAGATTAAGAGCTTTAGTTTCTCTTGTGCTGCACCAGAACAATGGTATATATCCTGCCCATTAAATGAAAAGCCAGCAAGTTCACACCTGGGAGAAACAAATGTTTTTCCACCCAAACCTGATCATCCCACCATACACAGCACTGCTGGGATCCACCGAGGCCATGTCAGGTGAAACACAAACACACAGTTATGCCCATCGATGCTGAGAAAAGGGACCCTGACCCTCATGCTTCAGATCGTGACCCAGTATCTGGTTCTTCTTCCCATCCCACCTCCCTCAGAGGTGGGCAGTGCTCTCCTGTCCGTCTGCAGCAGGAGTCATACCAGCCAGCTGAAGCCTCTGGTGCTCTCCACCATTGAGAGAGGGGCGCTGGGCTAGGTGGGCATCAGGCTGATTCAGACAGCAAATCCTATGTTCCTGTGCAAATAAGAGGAAAATACGTGTGCAAGGAGAGTACCTGGGCATTTAATAGGCATCCGTACACGAGTGGGTGTCCTGCCTGGGAGGAAGGCAAGGCGGGCACAAAGGGCAACGCAGAGGGCAGCTGTTCTTGTGAGGCAGGTTTTGGTGTTCTCATTTGTTCTTTTTTTCTCTTGTTCCCTAGGGAATTTTAAAGGTCTGTGTAAGCAAATCGATCACTTCCCTGAGGATGCAGATTATGAAGCCGATACAGCAGAATATTTCCTCCGTAAGTCCGCAGGCTCTTCTGGCAATGGCTTGTAGGTGCTAGCGTCGGGTGCCTTTTGCTTTCTGAAGATAGGTTTGTGGAGATGCTGGGACCTCTGAGGCTCAGCAGGCCAGAGGAAACAACCCCAGAGCCTTGCCACCACCCAAAACCAGCTCCATTCTCACCTTCCTGTGGCCCTGCCCATGAGACAGTGCAAGTTTTGAACTCACAGTAACAACCAGTGGCATTTTTTATTAATGACAATTAATTATGATATAAATCCAGAATCTTAATTCAAATTCATTGGAGAGCTAATGAGTGGTTATAAGGTCAGGACTGGGTTAGCTGGGGCAGCGTGAGTGTGTGTGTGTTTCCTCCTAAAGCAGAGGAAGTTTATATTTCCTTGTCTGATACTCCAGTTGCATCAGATTTAAGAAATTAGCTAGAATGTGTCCAAGGAGCACAATTTCTGTCTTCACCTTTCCCAAATACCACTTGCCTACAAGATCTGATCTTTGCTGGTGTCAGTGATTTTAGTGATGGGAACAGGAAGCAGAAATAAGGACAGTCAGAGCCCTTTGAAGAAAAGACCTGGTGCTCACCCAGGCACACGGCATCTTGGTAAAGAAAACTAAGCTGAGCTCTGAGTCCAGCCTGGGACATGTAGGTGAAGCTTGCACCACATTGTGCATGTGGTGAGAGAAGGCATTGGGCAGGTCCATATCATGTGTTGCCCTCCCTGATCACAGGTCAGCATTTCCATGTGCCCCAGAAGCAGGAGTTTGCTCTTCCTTTGGCACAGCTGAACAGGAATCACTCCCCCTCTTAGGTCCACACCTTGCTTATACTGCCCTCCCTCTACAATTCCAACACTTTTTGACATCATGAGTTCTCCCGTCAGAAATCGGAGATAAGAGCTTTTGACCTCCCAAGGATAATAATCAGAGGTCTCCAAAGACCAGAAGTCTTTCAGAATATCTTGTTGTCATCTGGGTGTGCTCCAAGCCAGATGTGGAGACCCAGCACTGCGGCACAAATGAGAGAGATAATTTAGGCTCTGTGAGGCTCATTTGTATGTGAAAAGAGGTAGATCTTATGCTGCTTCCTCTTGGTTTCTCAAACACTTCTTCATCCCCTTCAAACTGTAAATAACCCTGGGAGATTGCTTCCTTCAGATGCCTTTCTGTAGCATCTTCTCTCAGTTGTCACATGGCCCCTGAACAGTACAGCTGAAGACTGGGGTTTGATCTGGTTTGGCACAGCGCCTCTGCAGACTGCCTCTGAAGGGAAACCAGCTCTTGCAAAGTTGTTTGGGACTGAGGAAGCTGCATGCAGCATCAGATGCACTTCAGAAAGAAGAGTTGGATGGGTCTGTTCCCTCAGAGAAAGCAAGATCTGAAGACAAAAATTGGCCCAACATCCAATGGTGTCCCCAGGGTAGAGCCCTTAAGAAAGAACCAGGTTCAGAGAGGGTTTGGCAAGTCAGTAAAGGACTGCTTGGGTCACTCCTGAGGGAAGTGGAATTTTTGCTGGCTTAGACCTGACTGGAGAAGGACCCCACTGAACAGCTTCTTCACAGGGCTTCTGCCAAACCTGAGTCCCTGGACATTCTGCATGGGCAATGCGTGGCAGTACTGGCAAGAACAGCTACGAAAGTTTTTTATGGGTATCAGACTATGCAATTCCCTCATTCACAGGGCCAGGATCATTGTGGAGCAGTGTCCATGGTCTGGCTAGAAGAGCTTGGACTTTATTTCTGCCAGCCATCTACATAAGGTGTCTTAGGATTTTTGAAATTAAACACCTGTTGTCACAAAGGGAGCAGAAGCTTCCCTACGTTTCTTTGCTAGAAGACACTCAAGTTAGAGAGTAGACAGATGATATGGGGGAGCATCTGAACATCATCATGACTCCCCTTCTCTTTAGACCAAAGGCTCTGAACCCAGGAAGACAGGATGAGATTCTGCCCCTCCCTTGCTGTACAGTCCTTCTGAGAGGCAGAAAGTAGGGGCTGAGTGAGGCTGCTGTCCTGCCCCATCACACAAAGCCCACAGCTCTCCATGTGAGCCTTTCAGAACTTTGTGTTCTCCCAACAGACATTAATTTCAGAATTAAGACCTAGATAAAATTGATGTGGTCAGGGCCAGGCTGTGGGAAACCTCTAGAAACATGAACAGCGGATGTATGCTTGATGTTTGCTTACTGCCATTTAAACTTCACATTGTCAAATCCTGCCTTGCTTTCCAGAAGCTATAAAGATGGTTATTGTCACTATCCTGTTCCCCAAAACACAGACAGGCAGAACTGGAAAGCAAGCAAGAGAGGTTCCTCCCTGCCTTTTGCATTACCCATGTGCAGGCAGTGGGCTAGGGCCCCTCTCAAAGAGCCAATTGTTTGTGCCTGGTAAGATCCTGATGCCAACAGGGCCTTTGAAGCATGGTCCCTGAAAAAGTCGGGCACTTGCTTCAGTAGGGTTCATTCTTGCAGGCAAGGAGAGATTAGATTTCACCCCCCCCCTGCCAGATCTTCATTCCACAAACAGAATTGCACCAGCCCATCTGATATGTTTCTTTATCTATCAAACAAGGCTTCATTTTACACTTTAACTGCTTATTTTCTCTCAGGAAGGGAGGAGGGAAGACCTTCCTAGTTAAAAAATATGAATATTGGCAAGGCAAACTCAGACAGGCTGTTGGTACCCACTGAACAGCCCACGAGCAGCGTGTGTGTGTGCATGTGTGCATGGGTGTTTGTATACACAGTCCTGGCCTTTTGCTGTGTGAATACAAGAGAGCAGCCCCAGACACTTTGGAGTATGTATTGCATGTGCATATGAGCATATATGTGCATCTGTGCCATTGCCCTCTGCTGGCTGAGCTCTTCCCATATCGACCGATGGAGAGTGTGTGTGTGGGGGAACTGACACATCCAAACACATCACTGCTCTCTGGAAGGAGCCCAGTTATTTAATCATTAGGATAAGCCCCACATTTTGGCATGCAGGGCTAGGACTGCCACTTCAGTCCTCACTGCAGCTGCACAGTGCACGGCACCTGGCGCTCCTCCCCAGCCCTAAACAAAAAAATCTCTCCTTGAGATGCTTGTGCCCTTTCAGGAGGATTTGAGATTGAGCGGCTCTGCGGGAAGCATTTGGGTTGCTACCCTTTGAAGAGTGGGCTTGAGCAGCAGCACCCCACAGGAGGAGAAGCTGGATGGTGCTGGGGCTCTCCCTCCAGCCTGTAGTCCGCCAGAAAGCATAAGAAAAGACAGTATGAGGGGGGAGAGGCAGCACAGGCAGGCTCCCACCTCAGCCACTGGCCCTGCAACCCCCTCCACCTCCCCATGCCGGCTCACCAGCTTCATGGCAGGGCCAGGGTGCGGGAGAGGTGCTTCGAAATGCTCTCTTTTTCTGACACCCTTTGTTTCTCTCTCCCTCCCTCTGTCCCCGACACCTTTGTCCCTCCTTGACTTACTCCCCCCTGCCACGTTGGCCTCCATCTCTCTCCTTTGCCCCTACCCACGGAACGTGTTCACGGCCCCCCCCATCCCCTCACCTTGGTGCCATTTCCTCTCACACCTTCGCTGTTCTTTATCCCCCTCTCCCTCTCTCCTCCACAGGGGCTGTTAGAGCCTCTAGTATTTTCCCGATCCTGAGTGTGATTCTGCTTTTCATGGGTGGACTCTGCATTGCAGCCAGCGAGTTCTACAAAACCCGACACAACATCATCCTTAGTGCCGGCATCTTCTTCGTGTCTGCAGGTAAAGGGATGCACAGGGCCTGATTCCCCAGAGATGGGCTCCAGGTGGTGGGAGGTCTGCCCAGCCAGAGAATCCTGCAGGGGCATGGTTGTCTAGGCAGGAGTGTATGTGTTTCCCAGCCCCAATGAGCCTTATTCAGGGTGAAAGCAGACTCCAAATGATGCCTCTCCACCCTGTCTGCTTGCCTGGCAGAGGCAGCCAGCAGCACCCCGCAGGCAGGGGCTTTCCTGTTGCTTGGGAGCTCCTGGAGGGAGACAGTTTCCCTGCATCCAACATCCCTCGGGGACCAGCCAGGAGTGTAGTCCAGGGATGCAGCAGGCACACGAGGAGGATCTTGCCTGGCTTCCCCAAGGAAAGCTGCCCACTGAGAGGGCATGGTTGGCTGGGGGCCCTCCAGTCCCCACCTCCTGGGGACAGGGGCTCAACCTCATGGCCCCCACCACCACCATGTGTAACCTTCCTGATGTGTCCCTCTCTTTCCCCTACTGGCCGGCTGGCAGGTCTGAGTAATATAATTGGCATCATCGTATACATATCAGCCAACGCTGGAGACCCCTCCAAGAGTGACTCCAAGAAGAACAGCTACTCCTACGGCTGGTCCTTCTACTTTGGGGCCCTGTCCTTCATTATAGCTGAGATGGTGGGAGTGCTGGCTGTCCACATGTTCATAGACCGGCACAAACAGCTGCGCGCCAATGCTCGTGCCACGGACTACCTCCAGTCCTCCGCCATCACCCGCATCCCCAGCTACCGGTACCGCTATCAGAGACGCAGCCGCTCCAGCTCCCGCTCCACCGAGCCTTCACACTCCAGGGATGCCTCTCCTGTCGGGATCAAAGGGTTCAACACCCTCCCATCAACAGAGATTTCAATGTACACCCTGACCAGGGATCCGCTGAAGGCAACCACCACCCCCACCACCACCTACAACTCCGACAGGGATAACAGTTTCCTCCAGGTTCACAACTGTATCCAGAAAGAGAACAAGGACTCTATCCACACCAACACAGCCAACCGCCGGACCACCCCGGTATGAAGCTGTCACCAGGAGCTGAAAATGGGGCAGGAGCAGGCAGGAGGAGACAGGGTGGGCTGCGGGATGGGGTGGGTGGAAGGGGGCAGCAGGGTGGTGGGAAGAAGGAGGTGGAAGCAC